TAGTCGGTTAACGAGCTGCACACTAATTGGGGTATTCCAGACGACAAATTTTTATTTTCTCATGGATGAAACGTCGCAAGACTCTCACAACTCTATCGCTATTCTCATAAAATGTATGCAAGCGAACTACATTCCTTAGTTCCACCGGTCCTAATTTTCACGGTTAAGACCCGCCATGTCAAGCATATTGTAGCGAAACACCTACATCCCCTTCGTATTCCGTTGGCGAATATAAGATCCACTCCAGCAGCTTCTATTCGCAAACTGCTGCTTTGTGGACCCAACCTTCAATATGTTTCCCCGATTACTACAATCTGAAGTCTACGGTTAAATGTTATCTTCCTCATATATGCGCATAATCTGCGGCTCCTACTCTGTAACACTCTACCTCGAGTGGTACCCGGCCTTGTGAACATCAGTGAAAAATACATTGTAACTTACCACGATTTCAGGCATTCTATAGCTGTCACTTTAATGCCACTTTTGTACCATTTCGAATATTTCTAAATTATTTCTATATGTTTATACAAAACAATGAATGCAATTTTTTTTATGTCAACGAACACTCGCTGCCACTTTTGTGATGTCAGCGAATACTCGTTGTCACGTGTAGTGCTCGTTGTAGTAGAGACTTTGTAATCGCAGATACAACTATTGTAACGCCGTTGAACAATACTGGTGTCAGACGCCTTCGAATATCACTCGCACTAATAGTACTTGCTCGATAATACTAGCTCCAATTATTAATCTGTATAGTGACCCAAATAGAGAAATAGTATAGTGAATAGAGTAGAGAATAGCGATCCGTTTAATAATAGAGGATAGACTAGAAATAGAAATTTGTTAGACGCCACGCTAATTTCTACATATGCTTATGCGATCCACAGTTCAGTAATGAGATCGCCTGTGTTTGCTCACTGGCGAGCCAGGTTCACTCTCATGTGTCGGCAGCGACACTTTATTGCTATATAAACGTAATAAAAAACCTTTCGAAAATCAGCTCTATATAATCTGTACAGAGGAACCTCGAGGCGGTGTAACGGTTAGCAAGCTTGCTAAGAACAATTACGATCGAGTAGTGAGTTCGATCCTCACTGGATGTCTTATACTTTCCGCCTTGTGCCAAATCTAAACTACGCTTGGAAAGTCACTATATAATCTATACAGTAGAATTTATTTAGGAAACTCTTTTAAATTTGATTCATTTTGAAGAAAGAAAATACAATTAGGAACAATATTTTCCTACAACGTGCTATACCACCTGGTAGCGATTACTTCTATAGCTGGTCATAAGTCTAGATTCGTTAAATAATTGCTTCTTTAAGCGAGGAACGACTGTCAGAATTTCCAGGACGAAGTGGTATAATTATTTGCATTATTTTCTTTCATCGTCGGCCTTATCCCAAATCGAAGAATTTAATTTCTTCCTTGCTGATCTCTTCCTTTATGATGATGATGATGCTGATGACGAAGTTTTTTTTTTTTTTTTTTTTTTTATAGTAATGTTCACCTGTAACAAGACCCAATGGGCCACTCGAGATAGACTATTACTTTAGGATAACGGTTAACCCTGGCTTGAATAGACTAAGATTGTAGTGATCGGGAAACCATCCTCATGGAGTTGGTTCCACATAGCATTAGTTCGCGGGAAGAAGCTGTTAGATGGAATACTGGTGGAATGCGGGTGGTTTGCTAAGTAAGCGGCATGACCATTTCTTGCAAGAATTCTTGGAAGAGTCGATATCATTTTCTATTTTGGTAGCTTCGAAGTTCTGATGGTAAAAGAATACCATTAATTGATACGGTCTTGGGCTTTTGCTTCAAACGATTTAGGCGTAAATCCAATGTTGTTTTGAGATGATCTTTGTATCTTCGAAGAGGGCAAACCCGTGGTTGTTTCCCTAAAGTGAGCTTACTGAATACGACTTAACGTGGAAACCTTGACTCTTCCATTCTTACGATATGTCTTGACCACCAAGAGTCGGTGTTTGATGGTCAGAGATTTGACTGTTAGCTCTTTCCTAGACGTTGTTGTTGTTATTGCCATTCGATGTTCAACAGTGAACAAAGCTTTTCCTTGTGAAACCGTTCCAATTCTTGGATGTCGCGACGATATAGAATACAGGATTCGCAATTATGTAAGAAAGTTGAAATGACAAAAGCATTATAGACCATGCTTTTTTTTTGTCAAATTGAAATCCTTGTTGTTGAAATCGCGTTTGATTAGCTTTCCAAATGTTCCTGTGCTGCTCCAATTCTCTGTTCCACGTCCTTTTCTGAGGTGCACTTTTTTTGGTAAAAGGCTGCATAGATATGGAAAATGCTCTACTTGTTCGTGTGGTGTATCAGAAATGGTAATATAAAAACCTGGTAATATGATATTTGGCGCTGGCTGTTCAAGGCCCTTAGTTTTCTTAAGGTTTCCTGTAAAGCCCCAAAAGATTGGTAGCTCATAAACAAGTTGTCCACATATTCTTAGAGTTCTTCTTTTGAGTGATAGATGGCAGAGTTGTCATCGGCATATTGAAGTTCTAAGATGTGATGCATGACGTTCAGATCCATATCAAATCGATATCTGATGACAACTGGATTTTCTGGGGGAAGTCTGTGTAGCCCTGCAAGCACATACAAGGAGAATAGCCCAGGTATCAAAATGCATATTCGTTTTAGTCTGTAAGTGATTGGAAATTCTTCTGACAGCCTATTTTGGTGGAATACAGGTTCAGACATATTGTCATGCATTGCTTGAATCAGAGAGCTAAAGCGGTCGCGACATCCAAACAATTTACCTGCGGACTATTGCCCACATCTTTGTTGTTGTTATCACAACGTTTCGGTCGTTGTGTCCTCCGGCCTTCATCAGGTGTATGTCAATCCGGGTAACATATACCTAATGAAAGCCAAAGAGTAAACAAACCTTAGCCAACCTGTAATAAAAAAATAATAATATTCGATCACAAAAGAATCACACTCACTAAACTAATTCATAGCGATTTGCATCGATTGTTGACTTCGGTTTATTTAATTGAGAGCAGTGTATATCTGAGTCAACCGTTTGGTTTGCAAGATGGAGCTGATAGGAGAAACGGGTTAGTAGTGATTAATTTTGCTTACCTCACGATAGCTTTTATTTGATATTGCAATCTTTTCTTTTTTTATCATTTCCTATATTTCGATATTAAATAAGTCAGCAGGCGTGAGGATGTGGTAAAAGCAACCATTCTGACACAGTAAATATACGTTATATATTTCAACATGTGTATTTTAATCAAAATTATTTTACATTATAAAGATTTACATACTGTTAGACAGGATAAAATATTGCTATGTTTATTTACAATTTCTTTACGAAAACTGGAGATTGTGTCGAACATCAGTGCAAAATATGTTGTAACTAACTGCTATTTCAGGCATTCTATAGCTGTCACGGATTCTTAACAACCAGCTTCAAGCAACTTAAATGTCACTTTTGTACCATTTGGAACATTTCTAAATTATTTCTATATGTTTATACAGAACAAAAAAATGCAATTTTTGTGATGTCACCGAACACTTGTCACTTAGGTGATGTCAACGAATACTCGTTGTCACTTTTGTGATGTCAACGAACACTCGTTGTCACTTTGATGATGTCAACGAATACTCGTTGTCACTTTTGTGATGTTAACGAATACTCGTTGTCTCTTTCGTAATGCTCGTTGTAGTAGAGACTTTGTAAGTGCGGATACAATTATAGTAAAGCTGTTGAACAATGCTGGTGTCAGACGCCTTCAAATAATACTCGCACTAACAGTACTTGCTCCACAATACTCGCTCGAATAGTAATCCATATAGTGATCACTACAGAGAAATAGTATAGTGAATAGAGTAGAGAATGGCGATCCGTATAGTAAGAGAGGATAGACTAGAAATTGAGATTTGTTATACGCCATGCTACCCTCTGCTTATGCTCATGTGATCCACAATTCAATAATGGGGCGTCGACGATAAACTACATCCGCGACCTGGATAATACGATAAACAATATCCATCAGCAAGGTCTCTGATCAGGAAGTTTTGAGGAGCGTGGAACCGCCTCTTAATTGTTGGTCTTCCCGGGTCCACCCTGACCCGCGGTGGTAGCACCTGTTAGGGTCCCAGCTATGGGCAAATAGTTAACACTCAAACTTGTGTAAAAATTGGTTTTAATACCAGAAATACTTTGTAATAAAAAAAATTATTATCACCAATAACTTTTGAAGGAAAAATTATTATCAGCAATACTTTAAAAAGCATCAGCAATACAAACAGCTATACATTCTTTGGAAAAAATATGACCAGTTATAGATTTCTTCAAGGATAAATATTCCCAGAAATAGATTTTTGAAGAAAAACATATTACCAGCAATAAAAATCTTGTAGGTATAAAATAACCCACTGAAGTTGATATGCCGTAAAACAAACCAAACCAAACCAAACCAATAATGGTATCCCCTGTGCTTGCTCACTGGCGAGCTTTTCTATCGCGATATGTGCTAATACTCTTGGGAAAGGTATGAATCCTCTTCTTCACCCCCCAGCTATGGATAAATAGCAGGACCTACCGCAAAAAGAAATTGCAACCTGCCTCGTCGAAATACATGATCGCCTAATCGTGTACCACGCATGGCACTTAACTGACTGATCAGAACGATGAGGTGAACGTTTAGATTCTGAATGTTGATCATCAGGAGAGACTGTATTACGCACTCAGAAATGTGATGCTATACAATCCTCTCTCACGTAGGTCCCAGCCTTTTCGCATCGTATTCTTATAAACTACGTGATCTGATTGGTTTAAAATGCCATTTTTCTCTTTCTCTCATATGTCCTAAATAAAGCAAGTGTTCTGATCCTTTGGCATCACTTATCCCGGGGGAAATCACTTTTCCCATAAGTCGGGACTTGCCTCGCCTAATGTCAATTGTAGATTTGGTGATCAAGGTTTCCTCGAACGGACTATTGCACTACGAGGAGTAGGGTCATAGGTCAGTCCTGGGGTCAGTAGCAGTCGCCCACAAGACTAAACTGAACAACTTTTTTTTGTGGTGACCATTAAATAAGTATGATGAAAAGCAATATAAAAAGAAAGAAATAACGGAAGAAATGAAGAAAGAAAGAAAGCATTTCATGGAACAATAAATAATGGAAAATTCTTGTAGAATTTTATATCGAAGGAAGAATAGAAAATAAGAAAGAAAGAAAGAAAGAAAGAAAGAAAGAAAGAAAGAAAGAAAGAAAGAGATGTATGGATAAATAAATGCGAAAATTAAGCAAGAAAATAAGTTCTTGTAAAACTTATGATTAAAAGAAGTAACAATTTCTGGGAGAATTTCATAAAGAAATACAGGAAAAAAATCCTGTAGTGTTTTTATAATAAAATAAATAAATAAATAAATAAAGAAAGAAAGAAAGAAAGAAAGAAAGAAAGAAAGAAAAAGAAAGGCAGAAAGGGGGGAAAAGATAGATATAAAGAAAGAATATGAGAGGAATAAAGAAAGAAAATGAAACTGAAAGAAATAAAGAAGTAAAGAAGAGAAGAAAGAAAGAATAAACGAAAAAAAGAAGTAAAGAAAAAAGGAAGAAAGAAAAAGAAAGAATAAAAGGATAAAAAAACGAAAGAAAGAAAAAAGAACAAAAGAAAAATATAGATATAAAGAAAGAATAGGGGAGGAATAAAGAAAGAAAATGAAACGGAACGAAATAAAGAAGTAAAGAAGAAAGAAAGAAAAAAGAAAGAAAAAAAGAAGAAAAAGCAGTGAGAATAAAAGAAAGAAAGAAAGAAAGAAAGGAATAAAGAAATATAAAGTAAAAAAGAAAGAGGACATGATTAAAAACATAAACATCATACAAAGAAAATGAGAATAAAGATTGAAATAGAAAATGAATAGATCCATGAGAGGGCAGCAAAAAAGAAGGAAAAGAAAAAAAGAAAAAGGGAAAGACGAAAGAAAGAAGGGAAAGACGAGAGAAAGAAGGAAAAAAGAAACAAAGAAGAAAAAGAAGAAAGGAAAAAGAAAAAGAAAGAAAGAAGCAAAAGAAGAAAGGAAGAAGGAAAAGAAAATAATGAACGAGGAAAAAAGAAGCAAAAGAAGAAAGAAAGAAGGAAACGATTAAAGAAAGAAGAAGAAAAGAAACAGAGAAAGAAAAGAAGAAAGAAAACAGAGAAAGAAGAAAGTAAAAACGAAAGAAAGAAAGAAATAAAAGCGTAAAAAGAAGAAAAGAAGAAAGAAAGAAGGAAAAGAAAAAAGAAAGGAAAAAAGAAGGGAAAGGAAAGTAAGAATGAAAAGAAAGGAAGAAAGAAAGAGGAAAGAACGAAAAAAGAAAGAAACAAGGAAAAAGAAAGAAAGAAGGAAATGAAGAAAGGAAGAAGGAAAAGAAGAAAGAAAGAAAGAAAAGAACAAAGAATAATTGGGCTAAAAAAAGAAACTTAACAGAAAGAAAAGAAAAGGAAAGGATAAAGGTGATTAAGAAAGAAAGAGAAAGAGAAACAACGACACCAAAAGATACAACGGTCTAGTAAAAAACATTGGATAAAGAAAAAAATGGAAAAAAAATAAATGTAATAAAAACGAATGAAGAAAGCAAAAAATAAAATAAAATAAAATAAAAGCGGCAAAGAAAAAAATGATAAAAGTAATAAATGAATGAAGGAAAGAATAAGATGAAAGAAAACGTAGGAAATATATTAATTGAATCAATTGTCCAAAATTGTAATTCGGCGTGCGTCAGTAATTTGTCACGTTCGAAGAGTCTGTATCGAAGTGAACTCTAATTGTTATTGGTTATACGTGATCGAAATGTAATTGAAAAAAAAAATGAAAGAAATATCGTCAAGGAGGTAGAAAAGTCTGAAAGAAAGTAGAAGATAAAAGAGGAAAGACTAGAGTGAAAGAGAACATTGTAGTAAAGAAAGAAAGAAAGAAAGAAAGAAAGAAAGTAAGAAAGAAAGAAAGAAAGAAAGAAAGAAAAAGAATGAATGAATGAATGAAAGAAAGAAAGAAAGAAAGAAAGAAAAAGAATGAATGAATGAATGAATGAAAGAAAGAAAGAAAGAAAGAAAAAGAATGAATGAATGAATGAATGAAAGAAAGAAAGAAAGAAAGAAAGAAAAAGAATGAATGAATGAATGAATGAAAGAAAGAAAGAAAGAAAGAAAAAGAATGAATGAAAGAAAGAAAGAAAGAAAGAAAGAAAGAAAGAAAGAAAGAAAATGAATGAATGAATGAATGAATGAAAGAAAGAAAGAAAGAAAGAAAGAAAGAAAGAAAGAAAGAAAGAAAGAAAGAAATCGGACGGGGATGAAGCCAAGGTTAAGAAAAGAAATGAGATAACAAAAAATGGAGTGAAAATCAGGGAAAAGAAAAAGGAGATATCTATGTCATTGAGAGAGAAGAAGCGTTAATTTGTGTGAAAATATTAAGAAAAGCGAAGAATAATCGGTTTCGAAAGAGAAAAAAAATAGAGTAAGAATGAAAAGAAAAAAAAAATAATTCAAGATTGAAATAATAATAAAAGAAAGGCCAATTCCCGTCTGGTACAAAAAAATATCGAAAGGATAATAATAATAATAATAATAATAATAATAATAATAATAATAATAATAATTATAATAATAAAAGGTGAAGGAGCAACAGGAAAACAACAAAGATAAAATCCCCTTCCGCGTAGCGCGAATGAAAAATAATAAAGGAATGAAAGACGAAGGAGGGAATAAAAGGAAAAATAAGTAATAATATGGATTGACATTATAACTTTGAAATAGAGGGAATAAATTGGAAAACTGAAAGAAAGAGAAAGAGAAGGAGCAGAGAAGGAAGGATAGAAAGGTAAAGAAAATAAGGACTTATACTATATTTAGAAAGAATAATTGTATCTAAAATGAAACAACACAGAAACAAAGAAAGAAAAAGTGAAGACACAAGAAGTGAAGAAAAAAAAGACAAAGGAATGAAAAAAAAAATGGCGTGAAAGAAGAATGCAATAGATAAAGAAATATACGAAGAGATGAAGGGAGAAAGACAGAGAGAAACAAAGAAAGAAAGGTATCTGAGAAAAAAGAAAGACAAATGAATTAAAGAAAGAAAGAAAAAAGAAAGAAATGCATCTGAGAAAAAAATGCAAAGAAGAAAAGGAAGAATCAATGAAAGAAAGGAGCAAAAAAAAATAAAAATAAAAATAAAATAAAGACAAAGGTAGCCGAGAAAAAAATGAAGGAAATAATCGATAAAAGAATGAAAAAAAAAGAAAGAATGAAAGAAAGGTAGTTGAAAAAAGAAAGGAAGAAATGTAATTGTGAATAAAGAATGAAAAAAGAAAGAAAGAAAGATAATCGACAAAAAGAAACCAAGAAATGTCACTGAGAATAAAGAATTAAAAAAAGAATGAAAGAAAGGAAGGTAGTTGAGAAAAAAGAAATAAATGTAATTGAGAATAAAGAATGAAAAAGAAAGTAAGGTAAGTGAGAAAAAGAAAGAAATGTAATTGAGCAGAAAGAAAGAAAGAAAGAAAGAAAGAACGAAATAAAGAAAGAAATAAAAAAAGAAGACAAGAAAGAAAGAAAGTTGACATAATAGAAGGGAAGTAAAGTATAGATAAAAGAACGAATGAAAAAATAAGAAAGGCGAGATGAAACAAACGTAGTTGAGAAAAAGAATGGAAAGAATGAATGAATAAAAGAAAGACAAAGAAAGAAAGAAAGGTAACGGAGAAAAAGAAAAGAAAGAAATTATATGAAAAGGAAAAAGAACAATGGAAGGAAGCGATGAAAGAAAGGTAGCTTAAAAAAGAAGAGAAATAACGAATAGATAAAAGAAAGAAAAACAGAAAAAAGAAAAGAAAGAAAAAGAGAAAGAAAGAAAGAAAGAAAGAAAGAAAGAAAGAAGGAAAAAGAAAAATTGAAAGAAAGGTAACTTAGAAAAAGAAGGGAGAGAAGAATAGATAAAAAAAAGAAAAACCGAAAAAAAGAAAAGAAAAGAGAAAGAAAGAAAGAAAGAAAGAAAGAAGGAAAAAGAAAAATTGAAAGAAAGGTAACTTAGAAAAAGAAAGGAGAGAAGAATAGATAAAAAAAAGAAAAACCGAAAAAAAGAAAAGAAAAGAGAAAGAAAGAAAGAAAGAAAGAAAGAAAGAAAGAAGGAAAAAGAAAAATTGAAAGAAAGGTAACTTAGAAAAAGAAGGGAGAGAAGAATAGATAAAAAAAAGAAAAACCGAAAAAAAGAAAAGAAAAGAGAAAGAAAGAAAGAAAGAAAGAAGGAAAAAGAAAAATTGAAAGAAAGGTAACTTAGAAAAAGAAGGGAGAGAAGAATAGATAAAAGAAAGAAAAACCGAAAAAAAGAAAAGAGAAAGAAAGAAAGAAAGAAAGAAAGAAGGAAAAAGAAAAATTGAAAGAAAGGTAACTTAGAAAAAGAAGGGAGAGAAGAATAGATAAAAGAAATCCGGAGCAAGAAGGTGTGAAAATAAACACTGCGAAAAAGAAACGGTGAAAGTAAAAAAAAAATAAAAATGAAGGATAGATAGAAAGAAGAGTAAAAAGGAATAAAAGGAAGAATTAAAAAGAAAAAGAAAAAGAAAAGAACAAGTTCGGTGCAATAAACGACTGCTCTTGCAACTTTTATGAAATTCTCTCGATTTAATTTCGCGCGGAGTAACGATAATTACAGTTAAGACGTTTTATTTAATCAAATTGCTTGCATTTTAGTTTTTTTACTTGCGAAATAAATTTACTTTGCCAAAAGCCGAACGACTATAGAAGACGTAATTAACTAAATTGGAAATAATTACATACAAGCATCCCTCCATCCATACATGCGCACACCTCTGTGTATATTTGTGTATATCTTTAAGTCTGACAAAGTTACCGCCAAAGACTAAATTATGCAGTGCGTTAAACATTAACATTCGCACGGAAGTTGCATTTTTATCTTTCTTTTTACTTTCGTTCTACCCGCCAAGCTACGCCTACACGAGCGCTCCCATCAGCGATACCTGGGCACCATTGTCGAAATGCACCTGAGAGATTTCATCATTATTACTTTACTCAGCCAGGGACACCAATTTTGAACATCTGCTGCAAACACTTCCCGTGGAGAAAGGTTACCGATTATGGCTTTCGAAAGGCCCCGCTTACAGAACGCTTAGGCTAGACAAAAATGACAAACACTACCCTATTGGACATGGATTTAATAACGCAAGTGATTTAAAACCCATCAGCATAGGATCCTGTCAATGACGTGTTTTCTTTTTCTTTCTTTTTTTTATAGCTTTAACCTCCTATGTGCTGTATCTCTTCAGTTCGTGAGCGATCATGGTTCTCCACAACCTCCTATACATTCAATAACACAAAATGGTGACAGTAAAGATCTTTTTAATCATTTCACCCCAAGGAAGGCGAAAATGCCACAAGGAGCGGTTAAAGAGGGAAATAGAGGGTGAATGATTTATTGAGAAGTGAGAAAAGAACAGTTTCGGAACAAGGTTCAGGAAGGGGGAACATTGCGATTGGTGTTGCATTTAAATTTTTGAAGATTGTAGTTGACAGGGAAGCAAGAAATCAGAATGGAGTTTTTGTCACATAGGATATAAATGAATGAAATCGTCCGTTTATGTAAGTAAACGGAGTTGAGGGAGAGTTAGCGTCAGGTCTTCGCCGCGCGCTAAGCACCCAGTGCTTCCCAACCTCTCTGCCTTCGGCTAGAGAGGAACGCAGACGAGTAGGATGCCGAAGGGCATAGTCCCGTCTAGGAAGGTAGACAAACCCGCCCCCTGTTTATACGAAGTCTACGGGGAATTTTAGCATGAGCCTACGGGCTCGGAACCCACCGTCCCCCAAATTAAAAAAAAAAATGGCCTCGTATCACATCCCGCCTTGTGGGAAGAACTTGGTGTAAATACTAGGTCTTAGCTGCGCGCTAAGCTCTTATTGCTTGTCGAACTCTCTAGCTTCGGGCAGAGAGGAACCAGACAAAGCTATGCCGAAGGGTATAGTCCTGTCTGGAAAGGTAAACAAACCCGACCCCGTTATTACGGTGTCTGCAGGAAATTATTGCCCGGGCCTAGTGGCTAGGAAAACCCCTCGGTAAACCTGCCTTGAGCCACATCCCGATTTAGCATTAGGTTTTTCTTTCTGTTTTCTGTTATTTCTCTCTGTTATCTCGAAAACACGATAGGCAACAGTTTTACAGGCGGGAAGTGTGAAAATTGCTAATATTAGAATAGAATAGACAGTTGCATCTAGCTAGCTGAACAGTTAAATGGCGAGGCCTATTTGCCAATCAAGCAGCACGCTTAAATGTATATAGTCAAGATACTAAGGAAAAAAATTCAACAAATATATTTGTAGAAAAGGCAGAGGGTGATCACGTCTAGTCACTGAGAAAGTGACTCATGTCGAGATGCCAGGTCAGGATCGATTACATTATCGTTGCTTTATCTTTAATCATCTACGATCCGTGTCCCTTCAGAGCGTAGACGATCATGGCTCTCCACTACCTCCTACACAATAAATAAGTAGGATCTTGACAATGATGAATTATCATTGTTTTAGCTTTAATATTTTGTGCTGTGTCCCATTAAGACATAGGTGATCATGGCTCTCCACAACTTCCTATGTCTTGAATAACGTAGAATCCAGTGATAAATTATCATTGCTTTTAGCTTTAATCTTCTATGTGCCCTGCTCCTTCAGGACGTGGGTGATCATGGCTCTCCACAACCTCCTATACATTGAATTCTGACAACGATGAATAATTATTCTTTTAGCTTTAATCTTCTATGAGGTGTAACCCATTAGGACGTAGATGTCCATGGCTCTCCACAACTTCCTATACCTAGAAGAACGTAGAATCATAACAATGATGAATTATCATTGTTTTAGCTTTAATCTTCTATGTGCCGTGTCCCTTCTGGTCGTAGACGGTAATGGCTCTCCATAAGCTCCTATACCTTGAATAATGCAGAATCCTGGCAGTATTGAATTACTATTGTTATAATTTTAATGCTCTATCTGCCTTCAGGTGTGTGTGAGCATGTCTCTCCCCAACTTCTCATGCCTTGTGGTGATTACAAACGTTTGTCCATTTTACAAACCTCCCGACCCGCCATCCACTGGCACAAGATTGTCAGGCGTTTTCCCTCCCCAGTTACTTTTGTCTTCGATGGGTCCTGTGTGAGTCAAATTCTCCAAGCCCACCTTCCTCATTATGCGTACAAAACATTCAATTTTCTCTTACTCATTCTGAGTGTCCTTCTTGTATCCATTTTTGTATGCTTACGCACTGCCTCTATGTTATTCTCAGCATCCTTCTGTAGAGCCACACTTTGGCTACCTCCCATTTTGTTTTCCTCTTTGAGGAGATTGTTAAGCATTCACTCCCATAAAAGGGTATTGATATTGCATAACAGTTCAGCATTCTTATAACGAAATTTTCCTGATTCTTAGTACTTTGCTTAGCTTTTGGAAGGTATCTTTTGCTAATCCAATGCGTGTTCGGATTTAGCTGTCGAATTTTCCATCCTCTGTTAAATTTCCAATATTTGCATATTGCCAGATATTTAAAATTCTTCATTTCTTTGCTGTTGTCATTTCTAATTCCTAGTTCGCAGTTCACATCTTGGACTTTGTGTCTTGATGAAAACCAGGCATTCTGCTCCTGTTATATATCTGGAGATTCTTGACAAAATCCAAAGAAGAGTCTGCAATGATATCGGCCTTGACATGGCACCTAAACTTCAGCAACTTACCCCGCCGGGACGTGGTTTCCCTCTGTCTTTTCTATATTTTCATGGCATTCTCTCCGACTTGGTACCTCGACTACATGGATTAGGAGCTTTGAATCAACTGAATTGTGGTTCTACAGAACGATGATGAGGATACCATTGGCCAAATATGCAAACAGGGTAACCAAAAAAGAAAGTTTTGGAGAAAATGGAAACAAAAAGGAAAATAATGTTGAACATCAGAAAGTGACAGTTGGGGTTTCTGGGACACATAATGAGGAAAGAGGGCTTGGAAAATCTGATACTCACGGGACAGATAGAAGCAAGATGGACAGAGGAAAACACCACATAACATACATAGTGATCTTAAGTAAATGAATGGCGGAACAGGACTTAGGATAAATAAACTAAAGACAAAGTTTACAAAGAACTGCAAGGGGCAGGATGTTGCAGAGAACAGTCATCGCCTACGCCCTGAAGGTTTGGTTTGGTTTGGTTTGGTTTACGGCATAACAACCTCAAAGGGTCACTTTGTTCCGACAAGATTTTTATTGCTGGTAATATTTTTCAAAATAGTATTTCTGATAATATTTTCCCCCCAAAAGTGTTGCTGGCAATAATTCATTATTACTAATAATTTATTCTTAGAAAATTTATTGCTGGTAATAATTTTTACGAAAATGTATTGCTGGTATTAAAACCAATATTTACACTTTCATAGTGTTTCGACCCCAGTTTATGGGGATTATTAATTGCACATAGTTGGGACCCTAACAGGTACTACCACGTCGGGTCAGAGTGGACCTGGGAACACCAGCAATTAAGAGGTGGTTCAACGTTCCTCAAAACGTCCTGATCAAAAGGGCTTGCTGCTGGATGTAGTTTATCGTCTTACCCAGGACAGTCGGGTGTAGTTTATAATCTTACCACGGACGCAGATATAGTTTATTTATAAGATTTTTATTACTGGTAATATTTTTCAAAAGAGTATTTCTGGTAATATTTTTCCCACAAAAGTATGGCTGGTAATAATGCATTGTTATTAATAATTTTTTCTTCGAAAATTTATTGCTGGTAATAATTTTTACAAAAATGTATTTACACTTTCATAGTGCTTTGACCCCAGTTTTGGGGTTAACTATTTGCGCATAGTTAGGATCCTAACAGGTACTACCACGCCGGGTAAGGGTGGATCTGGGAACACCAGTAATTAAGAGATGTTTCCACGCTCCTCAAAACCTCTTGAACAAAGGGCCTTGCTGCTGGATGTAGTTTATCGTCTTACCCAGGACGCCGATGTAGTTTATCATGATACCCAGGACGACGTCGTGAAGATACACGGCACATAAAAAAGAAGACTAGATGACAAACAAGGTTTCATCGCTTTACTACTGTACAGCTGTAAGTTCTATTCTAATAGCTTTTTAGTTGCACTTCTCGCCTGTGGAAATCTCTTTCGGTTTACTGCTTCTCTGCCACATGCGACCTTCAAAAATTTAAATGCAAGCCCAATCGTCATCTTCTGACTTCCAGAATCCTGTTCTTTTATTGTCCCTCAATAAAGTCCATTTATTCTCTTTTCCTCTAAATTACCCATAGGATTTTATAACGGCATTATCACCTTGCTTGCGATGAAATGATTTTAATATTACTTATTGGACTAATTACAGATTATGACGGCACACAATATCTATGCTAACAGCTTCTTCTATCGCAATTCTTGCTTGTGGAACTCAATCTCCAGTCCATGCTTTCCAGCCAGCTTTAATCGTCGAACATTTAAATACAATACCAATCGCTATCGAGTATCCTCATGATTAATCTTCGTTTCCTTTCGCTCCTTAGTAATGTAGGTAGGACACTAAAACACAAGGGGTTACTGTGTGTCGAAGAATTAGTAAATAGACTAATTCTTCGACACACAGTAACCCCTTGTGTTTTAGTGTCCTACCTACCTTGCTTAAGGTGAACACGATTTAAAATAAAATGTCGCTTCACAAATGCGTTTTTTACCAACAGGAACACGACTTTAGGTCAACGGTGTAAATTTGCGTGACTTCATTAGAAATCACGTTCTACAAACATAGCCTGCCACACCTGCATCTGCTTTCAACGGAAGGTTCTTTATATTTAAATAGATATTAATTAATATTGGTACTTTTTTTCTATTCATCTCGGATTTTCGTTTTGATTAATTAAATTAACATTTTAATTAGCAAATATTTTTCATTATTTGATTATAAACACATTTTGAAATACAA